TTGTACTTGCTAGGCAAATGCTCTACCACTTGAACCATATTCCTACCCCTCTCAGTTTTGTTTACTTTTGAAACAGGGTCTTGGGTTTTTGACCCTGCTAACCTGAACTTTGATCTGTCTATTTATGCTTTTCCAAAAACTGGGATGACAGCTATATGCTACTGCATCCAGCTCTGTATTTTTTTATTTTCGTTCTGGCAAGGGTTTATTTTAGTATATCAGGGTATCATATGGAGAAGTGGGGTGGGGTATGAGAAACATTTCTTGCTCCCCTCACAGGAAATGGGACCGAAGGACTCTTTTTCTGGCTTTTTACTGATTGGGTTATGGTTTTGCTCAGGTTGACCTCAAACCATAATCCTCCTGATCACTACCTCCCAAGTAGCTAGGATTATCACCCTAGCTAGGGGCCACCGTACTTGGATCCTTTCTCGCTTGTGTATGCCTTGATAAGTTACTGTTTATTTAGAAATGAGGTAGAAACTTATTTCTCAGAGACAGTTTCTTGAGTTTTATTGGTTTTCATGCCTGGACCACAAGTTTTGTTGCAAGATGAGCAGTAAAAGAGATCAACTCAGTTTTGCCTCCTGTAATGTTTGATCACCTATGGTAGAAAAGGCTGAGATCCTCATGCTAAGTGTATTCTTGTATTTTCTGTGATCCAAACTGAGCTAGACTGGAACAGTTGAAGATTCCTACATTTTCAGAGACAGTAGCTAAGTAGATAGTATCCAGGAAGTTTAAACAAAGAATTTTGTAATTCTCTGGCTTTGTCTCCAGCAATTTGGGCCTCAACATAGTAAACCAGAAGCAGAGACCGTCTTACCTGGGAGAGGTGCTACCTTCAAAATGTAGCCAGTTACTGACAACCATCTTCCCATCTTCTCAGCTCAAGAGCTTCAGGTATGCTCTGGGTGTCAGCGTGCTCAGCCCTTTCTCCCTTTCTGGTGGCTAAATTTTTAGAGTAAATTTACCAACTTCCCTGGCTGCTTGCTGGGAATGGCCAAATGACATGGAGTAACCAATGAGAAAGAAGGCTTCTGGGAAAACGTTGCTTTTTCAACAGAAAAGGATGTCAGAGAAGAACTCTGGTTTTTCTCTGTCCTTTGCCCTGGGCAAGTATTCAACATATGGTACTCTGGTGTCCAACTTGTGCATCTCTTACGAAGAGATAGATATCAGGAACAAAAGCCAACAGGGGCGAGGTTAAAAAAAAAGTACCACAGTTGTGTGTGAGCCATTGCATCAAATATGAGATTACCTAGCTTAGATTGAGCACAAGAGATTATTAAAGAGATCTTTCCCCTCCTTCCGTCCCTCCCTTCCTGCCTTCCTTCCTTTCCCTGTTCTGAGGCTTGAACTCAGGGGGCACTGTTCCTGAGCTTTTAACTCAAGGCTAGTGATCTACCACTTGAGCTACAGCTCCACTTCTGGCTTTTGGGTGATTAATTGGAGATAAGAGTCTTTCAGACTTTCTTGACCTATATGGCTTTGATTTGCAATCCTCAGCTCTCAGCCTCCTGAGTAGCTAGGAAGCCTCTGGCATCTGACTTGAAATGTTGTTCTTCTGTATCCTGTTTTCTCCTTCAGAACTTGTGAAGTCAAGTATCCACTTAGTTTTAAGTACTAAGTGGAATTGAAGAAGTGTAGTCTATGGCTCTTTGCTAAAAGAAGCCTATTCCTCTAGGCATTGGGGAAAAAAAGTTTGACAAGTTATACTTTTAAAAGATATTTTTAAAGAGCAACCACAAACATGCAGAAAAAAGTAGAGCTGGGCCCTGCAAGGAAATGCATGTTGATATTTTGCATAAATGTTAGCACAACTGTCTGAGTGCTGGTGGCTCACGCCTCTAGTCCTAGCTGAGAGGCTGAGATCTAAGGATCATGGTTCAAAGCCAGCCTAGGAAAAAAGACTACGGAGCTGGAAGTGGAGCTGTGGTCAAATGGTAGAGTCCTAATCTTGATCATAAAAGCTCAGGGACAGTGCCCAGGCCCTGAGTTTAAGTCCCAGGATCAGTATACATATACACACATGCACACGTGCATGCGCACGCGCACACACACACACACACAAACACAACGTTAGCACAACTGTACATATTGTGCAAACTATGCTTCTTTCAGAACTTTTTGGGGAATGTAACTTGTTTACACCTGTATGTTCTGATTTGGTGACTGGCTGCAGTTTACTTGGTGTCCTACTGGCTTCCTATGATGTGTCAGCAGAAAATGGAAACTTCCTTAATGTATGCAGGATATATGACCTCTAAAATGTCAAATTCTGTGGAGTGACAACATCATTGTCAAAAGCCTGGGGATCTTCTGATGTGAATGGTGGAACGGGTCTGAGTTTGCCTGTGGGATCTGTGACATTGAGGAAAAGAAGAAATGAATCTGAGCCCTTTCTGGGATGAACTCACACAGGAATCAAGTCAGATGAGCTCCTCTACTTTTGAATTTGTTGGGGTAAAATGCATGTGGAGTCAATAGATAAGAGGAGAACTGGTTAAACTGGAAGGAGAGGGTTCATTTAAATCTAAATGGAAGCATGTGTTCTTTAAGAATCTGTAAGAACCAGTCAGCATTGACAGCCATCTTGGTAATAAAGTAATAGCTTGTGGGGGATGAGTAAGGAAGTAGGAAACACCAGGTTCTACTTGTTCAACAAATTAAGCCATCAGCCACATGAGCCCTTCTGTTAATTCCCCCCAATACAACTTACATGAATAAATTCAGCCTTTTATTTATATTAATTTTCAAATACCCACAATGCAAATAATAAACTCCATTAAAAATAGAAGCCTTGTTTAATTTTCATTCTTCAACCATTAATACCCCCATCTTTTGTGCCAGTACAGGTCTTGAACTAAGAGTCTCCAGCTCTTGGTTGGCTTTTCACTCAAGGCTGGCACTCTACCGTAACTTGAAGCCACACCTTCAGTTCTGGCATTTTGCTAGTTAATTGGATATAAGCGTCTCATGGACTTTCTTGCCTGAGATGGCTTTGAATTACAATCATCAGATCTCAGCCTCCTGAGTAGCTAGGATTACAGGGATAAGCCACCACTGCCAGGCAGAATTTTTAACTCCATCTCAGCCTCCTGACATGAGGGGGGAATTTGTTTTTGATACAAACACACAGGTCTGAAGCAATAAGCCAGTGGCTAAAATAGCTTCTCTAGATAGGAGGCCAACGTCATCTAAAGTCCAATAGAACTACTCTTGGTAGTAGCTATCTGCATCTCTGATACAGTAACCATGTGGCCATAGAGCTCAGGCTTGTATGAGGGAATGATGTCACATTCCTCCATTATAATGAGTCTCCATTAAGATAACCCCCAGTGGTTAGTGGTTGCCATATTAAACAGCTCAGATCTAGCGTATAGTCTAAGGATAGAAAGATGCAGTGGGCTGTAAATGGAATGGATGGAGAATGCCTATGTATGGATGATAGGTATTTAAAAACATACTTCCTACCTAGTTTTTCCTATCAGAATCACTGCACTCAACTGGGTGCTGGCGGCTCACGCCTATAATCCTATATATTTGGGAGGCTGAGATCTGAGGATCAAGGTTCGAAGCCAGCCCAGGGAAGAAAAGTCCCCGAGACACTTTTATCTCCAATTAACCACTCAAAACTGGAAGTGGCACTGTGGCTCAAGTGGTAGAGTATTAGCCTTGTGTACAAAGAGGCTCAGGGACAGCACCCAGGCCCTGAGTTCAAGCCTAACAACTGACAAAAGAAAAAAGAAAAAAAAACTGCACTCAAAGACAGCCCAAAGGAGACAGCATCTTTTTTTTCTCTCTCTCTTCAAATGCACAGTGATGGGAGGAGACAGCATCTTTAAGTGGGTAGAGGGGTACTAAACTTGCCGATTAGTGAGCAGACTCCATCTGGGAGAGAATTGGGTGTGAATGATGTTTTCCCAATGGCAGAACCAACCCACTCAGCAACTCTTGTCTGAACTAGGTAGGTCAGGCTCAGCAAGAAGAGCTTTCCCACTCCTGTCAGTCCTGGCTCTACTCCAGCTGAGATCTGTTCTTCCAAACATGTGAGCCACATATATGGGTCTCAGACACTTACTCAGGGCTCACATCTCACACACATTAACATTCAACTCTGCTTTCTTTAGAAAGAAACTGGTTCAGATGCTGGCATCTCTCTCTTTCAAGAAGTATGGGCCTTTACAATGGTTATTTCTTGTCAGGCCTATGCCAACCAAATATGGGGCATCAGGAGAGTTTCTCAACTGTAAACACCTGCTCTGTGCTGATCCTTGCAATACCAGTGACTAGAGAAATACATTGCAGGCAATTTTGGCTAGAGTTAGCTGAGCTACACAAGGGCTGGGGCAGGTGAACGGAGGTAGACAAGACCAAGAAAATTCTCATTTAGATGAAAACATCTTACCCAGCTCTGTTGGTGTTCCAGCAGGCTGGGATGAGCTGCAGAGTTGGGCCAAAACTCTCTTCTATCTTCTCTCCATTCCTACCCTGATCCTCTCAGCGCCTCCCTGAGCTTGGGCTCAACCAATGAACACGAAAGCTCGTCTAGTGGACCTAAAGTTGTCAAATTGTCAGGTCACTAAACTCTCTTCACCGCTGAATTTTCATGGCCAACCAGCAATCCAAGTTAAGGCTACTTGAAGACAGAGAACCTGATCCAGTGGTCTAGGTCCAGCATCCTAGAGAGGCTGCCAGACAATGCCCAAGCTTCTTTCCCTAGGCAGAATCAAGAGCACTTGCTCAGTGAGAAAAGAAATGAAGACTCTTCTGTACCATATGTTGATCATCTCTATTAATAAAGGCAATGAGAAAATGAATCAAATTTTTTGGTAGGTACTAGGTTTGAACTCAGGACCTCTTACTTGGTATTCTACCTCTTAACCCATGCCTCCAGCACTGCATTTTGCTGATTATGTTAGATACAGAATCATATAGATTTTTTTTTTCTGCCTGAAATGGCCTTGAACCATGATCCTCTAGATCTCAGCTAGGATTATAGGTATGAGCCACTGGTGCCCGGCTCTGTTTTACACAGTCAGCAGTCAATAAGATAAGGTGTGAGAAGGAGAGACTCTACATTCTTTCACAGAACTTTCTTTTGTCTACTACCAGGAGCACAAGCACAGAAGGGACTGATTCATGACATCTACATGCTCTTTCAGCTCCCCTAGGGCAGAACTGCAATGGTCAAAAGTCTTTTCCTCTCTGTCCATGTGTTCACCGCTCATCCACAGGGTGGACCTGGTCAAACCGCCACAGCTGGCTGGCTTTATCCTGGCATGGACTCAGAAACAAATCCATGCTGCTTTGCTCATCCACAGCCTCCACGCACTTCCCGGAAACAATGTGGACAAGCATCCCATTCTGCAAATAGAAAAAATAAAGAAAGCCAGTTCCCCACAAAGGCAGTCCCCCGAAAGATACTTTTAACATTTGGACTGACTAGTAAGCAACTAATATAATTTGAACCAGCCTGCAGAGGAATGGTAGTGTTTTTTTTTGGTTAATACAAAATGTTGGCTACGATAGTCCTAAAATATAATTGTTATTCAAAGCCTTGGGGTCACTAATGCCCTTATCTTTGTTACAATTATGTTCTTTTTTTTGGTAGGTTGTGAGGCCTGAACTCTGGGCCTGGGTGCTGTCCCTCAGCTCTTCAACTCAAGGCTAGTGCCCTACCACTTGAACCACAGCGCCCCTTGCGGCTTTTTCTGCTTATGTGGTGCTGAAGAATCGAACCCAAGGCCTCATGCATTCAAGGCAAGCACTCTACCACTGAGCCACCTTCTCAGACCTATTATGTTCTTTCTTAAGTGGTGAGGGTGATTTCCGGAAATAGAACCTGTCCAAGTTTTCTGCTGTGTTTTGGACATTCACTGTTAGCACTCTGTTCACAAATGTCCACTTTCTAAAGGATTTCATGAACTCCGCCCTCTGTTTATCTTACAATTTTGTGCTGTAGCCAGAAGGTTACAGTAGAGAGCAAAGCCTCCACAATTACCTACATCCTGAACAAGCCGCATTCAATGAACTATGAGTGCTCTGCTCAAAAACTAGCAGATTTTTTATTAGATCTAACATTCTCTTTTCAAACTTTTACTTCCTCTTATTTTTGTAGGTGCTGGTATTGGGGCTTGAACTCAGGGCCTGGGCACTGTTCCTTCATTTTTTCATTCAAGACTGGTGCTCTACCACTTGAGCCATAGGTCCACCACTGGCTTTTCAGTGGTAAACTAATGATAAGAACCTCACAGACTTTCCCACTCAACTGCTTTTGAACCTCAATCCTCAGATCTCAGCCTCTTGAATAGCTAGGATGATAGCAGTGAGCCACCAGTGCTCGACTTCTTTTGACTTTTTATAACTGGTTTATTTCACCTAGCATAGTGTCCTTAAGGCCCATGCATGTTGTAGCAGAGGACAGTATTCTCTTCCATTTTAAAGGTGAATACCAGTTATTATAAGAAATTATTTTAGGAGGCAATTAATCCCTATCTGAATAATATACATTTAAGATAAATGTGTATCCACATTGTATCTATCCATCCATGGATGGGCATTTGGGTTGTCTCCAGCACTTGGCTGTTATTAAGTAATGCCACTATGAACAGCATTCTTTTCTGGCTGATGATAATAGCTTTTTAAATTCTCTCCCCCATCACCACCCTTACCCCACCTCTCTGGTAGTACTGTGTTTGAACTCAAGGCCTTAAATTTGCTAGGTATGCAGTCTACCACTAGCTATATCCTCAGTCCTTTTAGGATTTAGTTATTTTTTTCTGGTATGGTCTTGCATCTTTTGAACAGGAACAACCTCAGATCTGAATCTCCTACATATGGCCTCCAGCATAGCTAATATCAGTCATATGCCACCACTGCTTGGCTTATTTGTTAAGATTGGGGTCTTAGTAACTTTTGACCTAGGCTGGATTCAAACCACAATCTTCCCAATCTCTCTACCAAGAAGCGGGGATTACAAGTGTTTGCCACTGTGTCTAGTTTCATTTCCTAATATCTCAAATATGCTGGGTAATTCTAATTTTTTATTTGTCTTAAAATGCTGTCTCTAAAATATATCTTATTCACAGTACTTTCTTAAGATCTTTCATGAGCATCCATGAAAGATCTTAACGTGATTGCTAAGACTTCTTGCATGTGTGGGTCCCCCGAGTTCTAGGTCTACTTGTCATCAAAGCCTCAAGGTCTTTGTCCCAGCTGCTTATTTTGAATTTTCCTGAAGATTTATAAATACAAATTTTCCTCCCAGAGCCAGCTTTAAGAACACCAGGGATAGAGTTCTTCTTAGTTATTTTGCCATCTTTACTCCCAAGCAGAAGTTGAAGAAAAGACTTTTTTTTGTTTTGTTTTGTCAGTCGTGGGGCTTGAACTCTGGGCCTGGGCACCATCCCTCAGCTTTTCAGTTCAAGGCTAGCTCTGTACCACTTAAGCTGCAGCGCCACTTCTGTTTTTCTGGTGGTTTATTGACGTCTCACAGACTTTCTGGCCAGGTTGGCTTTGAACCTTGATCTTATCCCCCTGAGTAGCTAAGATTACAGGCGCGATTAAAAGACTTTTTTGAATGTGCATATTTAAGCTGGGTGCTAGTGATCAGATCTGTCATTCTAGCTGCTTGGGCAGCTTAGGATTAGAGGATCAAGTTTCCAGACCAACTTGAACAGAAAAGTCCAAGAGACTATGACTCTATCTCCATGAAAGGAAGCTGGATGCAGTGTTGTACCTGAGTCCAGAGATGATGGAAAGTGTAAAGCAGGTGGATAGTGACTCAGGTTGCAGGCCCAGTCAGGAAGTGAGACCCTATCGCAAACAATAACCATGGAAAAACAGGACTGGAGGTATGGCTCTGTGGTACAGCACCAGCCTAGCAAGGGTAAGGACCTGAGTTCAAATCCCCATACTGTAGAGAAAACTATGAACTGCGTGTTGGTGGCTCATGCCTGTAATCCTAGCTACTCATGAAACTAAGAGCTGAGGATCATGGTTTAAAGCCAGACCAAGGAAGGAAAGTCCATGAAACTCTTATCTCCAATTAAACACCAAGAAACCAGACATGGCACTATGGCTCAAAGTGGTAGAGTGCTAGCCTTGAGCAAAAAAGCTCAAGACGGCTGGGAAGGTAGCTCAATGGTAGAGTGCTTGCCTTGCATGCATTAGGCTCTGGGTTCGATTCCTCAGCACCACATAAGCAGAAAAAGCCAGAAGTGGAGCTATGGATCAAGTGGTAGAGCACTAGCCTTGAGCTGAAGAGTTCAGGACCCATGATGGACCAAAAGCTCAAGAATAGTGCCCAGTTCCTGAGTTGAAGCTCCATGACAGGCAAAAAAAAGAAGAAGAAGAAAGAAGAAGTGTGTATTTGTTTTTTATGGTAATAATCTAACTCAATTTGGAAGATATAAGGAGAAAATTCATCATAGATACTATCACCTTCCTCTTCCAATCCTGTGTCTGCAAGCTGCTCATTCTCCTAAGTGCTTTACGGTACTAGAATTCCTCTCCATAGACACAAAACCTCTGGGAAGGATCTAAAGCTCCTCTTCCCTAAGGATTCATAGGTCCAAACTTTACAAAAATGCTGAAATGATCAGAATGGAATCTGCATTAGAAGGAAGAAGGTGATATCTATATATCTATTCATCTATTCATATTCATGTTTTATTTCAGTAGTAAGGGGGGCTTTGTGTTACTCCTAAAAAGCATACTAACACACTGGTCAGCTGTTTCTGTGTCATGTTCCACCCTCCTCCCTGCAGGATGAACTGACAAACATTGAAGTGGGAGGAGGGGCAGCAATCCCTTTCCCAGTCAGTGAGTTCTATACACTGACTAGGTGAAGAAGGATTAGTACATGTCCTGATGCTGATGGCCCAGCCTCCCCATGGGGTTGCCTTCCTTCTCTCTGAGGTTGACATGCAGTAACTAAGTTCAACCCTAGAAACACAGGCCTCTGGTAACACCTGACTTCTTAGAACAACCCGGACTGCAGTGCTGCCCATAAATCCCATCTGACCTGCAGCCCTACTGAACATCCAGAAATGAGTTCTCACCTTCTGGAAGTCCCAGAGCTGTGAATGGATGGCTGAGCTTTCCTGGATGCAGTCTTGCAGAATTACCTGCTCTTGCTTGACATCAAAGCACAGATGTGGCGGGCTTCCAAAACGGATTTCCTTCCTGCCAATGTGTTCCAGGCGCTGGGCAGAAGGAACAGTATGTCAGGGATTGTTCTGCAGGACAGCAAGGCTGCATCTCATGGTTAAGTCCATAAATATACTGTGACACCGGCCCTGGGCCCTGAAGTTCTCACATGGCAGCTGCCTTACGTGATTCTGTCACGTTCCTCCATTATCCTATTGACTGTCCAATAGATTAATCTAGAAAGAAATCTGTGTGTCCTGTGAGTGAAATGGTGGAGGAACAGATGAGGAACCTCTCTCTGAGGCCTATGCTGATCTCTTTCTGGAGAGATCTTTCCTGCCCCTCAAATGAACTGTCCTGCTGACTCTCGCTCATGGTTATCGTATTTACCAGCAGCACTGGGATCGCGCATACTCTTGGGGAGGATTTTAGTGGAGAAGCCTGTGCACACTAATTGAAGGCACATCCTGAGAAACCTATTTTTGTTCCTGACAGTCACAGCCCAAACCAATTTTTATATTAGTGGTTCTAAGACAGGACTGGTTGGACTTGAGCAATATAACTGGCACACATGCTCTTGGTTTAACAAATTTAACACATTGCTATCAGCATTGAAAAATCCTTAACACTTGTTGAATTGGAGATGCCATACTTTTGTTTTGCATGGTACTCTGAAAATGAAATAGCCTGCCTTGCTTGAGGATGCCAAAACACATACGCAGTTTATACGTGAATCCTAACCCCATGTTATAGGCAAGGCTGGGGACCTTACTCAGGGAAGAGTTTTTTTCCCACTTAAACCCCTGAGGTGATGGACAAACTTCCTTGGGAAACATTTCCCTGTGGCGATGGATAGATGGAATTTAACTTTGGGAGCAGGGATTGCTCTTGAAGATCAAAGCTGATCTTCATGAACTGAAGTTTGGCTCTCACTGCTTTTCCCTGTCTGGAGTCAGCATGCTCAGCTCTCTGAGGTGGATGCTGCCTGCTCCTGACTTTGGCAGTTCAGCCCATATCCCATAATATCCCATAGCTCTAATTTCAGTTGCTTGTTGTTGTTAAGGAGATTTTGCTTGCTTTCTTGTCAAATCAATGACTTGTGCACAATAGGAGCATTTTATACATATATATATATATATATATTTAATCCAGCATAGCCTATCTATGTGTATTAAGGAAGGGCATTGAGCTTATATATTACACTATTGCTGGATCCAAGAGTCCTCACTAATTTCCTCTCTCTCTCTCTCTCTCTCTCTCTCTCTATATATATATATATATATATATACACACACACACAGGATCCAAGAGTCCTCACTAATTTCCTCTCTCTCTCTCTCTCTATATATATATATAATACACACACACACACACACACACACACACACACACACACAGAAAAGAGCAAACATTCTGTTTTCTTGATTCCCAATTGCAATTGCAGATGAAGAAGAAAAGGCTCAGAGAGGTTAAACAAGGCTGCTGAGATCATACAGCCATTTTACCCTACTACAGAACTTCTTCATAAGCTTTATTTCTTTTTGTTTTCAGCCCTTGAACCAGGCATGACTGCTTCTCAGTAGGTTCTAGATGGTTCTAGAGCCAGGAGAGGTGAAGTGGATCCTGAACCTCCCTTTTCTATGTGTTCTTGGCTGGCTCTCTTCCAGGCAGGGCTGGGCCCCAAGCCTTCTGAGGGATGCTCTTCTCTACTCCCCCCCACCTCCAGGCTCTCTTGGTATCTTCAGATCATCCAAAAAATACCTCTGGGAATTGAGGTACCTTTGGAATATGTATGACAGCTTAATGCAAAGTCCCTTATCACAGCAGGAGTGTGGAGAGATCTGGGAACAGGTGAGACTTGCTCCATTATCAGCCAGGTTGTGAAAAAGAAGTGAGCCCACCAAGGCCCCAGATAGGTTCAAAGGAGGCTTCTACCATCTGAGCAATTATTCCCATGAAAGAAAGTTTTGAAGAGAGTAAAGCACACCCTAAGCCAGGCTCCTGGCTCATGCCTGTAATCCTAGCTACTCAATAGGCTGTGATCTAAAGATCATAATTTGAAGCAAGCATAGGAAGGAAAGTCTGTGAAACTCTTACCTCCAATTAACCAGCAAAAAAAAAGCCTAAAGCCGGGCGCTGGTGGCTCATGCCTATAATCCTAGCTACTCAGGAGGCTGAGATCTGAGGATCACGAGTCAAAGCCAACCTGGGCAGGAAAGTCCGTGAAACTCTTATCTCCAATAAACCACCAGAAAACCAGAAGTGGCGCTGTAGCTCAAGTGGTAGAGTGTTCGCCTTGAGCTAAGAGTGCAGGGACTGTGCCCAAGCCCAGATTTTAAGCCCCACGACCGACCAAAAAAAAAAAAAGCCTAAAGCAGAGCTGTGGCTCAAGTGGTAAAGGACCAGTCTTGAGCAAAAAAACAAAAACAAAGGGACAGTGTCCAGGCCCTGAGTTCAAGCCATAGGACTAACACAAAACAAAAACAAAACAACAATAACCAAAAAAAAAAAAAACCCGCCCTAAGATTCTAGGTGACTTTCCTAAAGACCAAGGGGCCTATTTGAATATTGCATCACTGCATGGAGATTTTTGCCATCTTTTCTCCTGACACTATGACCTTGCTTCAACCTGCCAACACCAGTGCCTGCAATCCTCAGGACTGTGATTCTATGGCTCTAGTTTTTCATCTGACTGAGGAGGGGTGGATAAACAGCCTCTCCATTGCCCTCTATCTCAACTGCTCCATTCTTTGATTCAGCTCCATCAATAAACTGGGATTGAAGCGGGCAGCGCTATGGCAAATTGTCACATCATGGAAAGGGGCCATCAGGGGATAGGGGACTATAGAAAAGGAAGTGAAGCATGAAACTTCTGCAAGCTGCTCCCTGTCCTGAGAAGGCTGACCACCTACCTGCTGTTGTCGCCTGTTACTACAAGACACAAGCACCACAGGACAGCCCAAGGTATCTCCTTCTGCCCGGCAGTCTGCGCAGAATCCAAGACCCTTGTTGCGGAGCTGCAAGTGGACACCCACAGACAAGTAAACCCCAACTTCCATGATACACACTCAGCCAGGCTCCATTCCTCAACTTCACTCATAAGGAGTGGGGTCAAGTGGAAATCACTGATCCTGATGGACATACTCTGGAAGGAGGCAGGCCAGGAGGTCTGGGGGTAGAGTAAATGGCAAGCTAGCCACTTTCCTCAGGCTGGCATATGAGCAAGGGTTGGAATGAAGACCCCCCCCCCCGGAGGCCTTGCTGAGCTCACCATTGGTTGACCAAGACAATGGAAGAACATTTGAATAGTAGCTCTTGTCCTGGGAGGGAAACTACCCTCTCCTTTCCTCCCGACCCATCACCCTTGGGCCATGCCTTGCCTTTCCAGTGAATCTGGGTCTGGGCTCTGTTGGATACAACTCAGGGTAGATGTTGGCCAGAAACCAGTGGAAGGTCCGACAACCCAGCGTCCTTTGCAGCTTTATTCGCTCCCTGAAGTCTAGGCTCACAGCCTGGGGAAGAAGAAAAACACCAGCATCCACATGAGGAGAGTTTGTGTTATGCCAGAGGTGACTTAGGAGGGGAGGAGATAGGGTGGTTGGAAGAAGTTGAAGGGCTTAGGCAGAGAGGGGCCCAAGGTCCCAGCTCCCAGCACTGTGGTTGTGTTGGCAGAAGAGAGTTTGGAAGGGATGGCACAGAATGGATCTCCCCTAGGACATGGAAGCAACAAGACTGGAAATGACAGCACCCACTCCAGTCACCTACCAAATCTTTACAAAGACCTTGGTGTTCAGGCTTTGAGACTTACTGGTGGGCATTGGTGGCCACCTATAGAGGGCTGTGCACTTAGACAGGAAAGGCCTAGAAGCAGCTGAGAGGGGCATCAGTTGGGAAACTGTAGGGTAAGGGACCAGGTGAGGCTGCCAAGTCTTTCTGTTAATGAGTTAATCAATTAGGTGAAACAATCCTTCCTTCTTGTGGTTCTCCTTCATTATATAATTGTATCTGGATGGATAGCAAGACAAAATTTTAATGTTGATATAAGTTAAAGTTTGGGGCTTTGGGGATAAGACACCAAGAACCCCACCATGCCCAATGAAATTAACTTTCCTAACTCAGGAATTTCTTGCTTATTCCACAGCTTTACATACCATTAAACCAAGGAAATCTATTGCTTTTCCTCTAAGGAAATTGGTATAATTTTTGATGGTTTATTTACATCATTAATCTTTATTTGAGATCTCCCCAACCTCTCCCCTGGGTAGATTTTGTTACCAAAGCAGAGACATTTCTTTATCGGTATTCTATCACTAAGATAGTGATAAAAACAAACTGACAAATCTATTCAACCTTTGTGTGACCTCAAACAAGGGGCATGCTGACTTTGAACTTCCCCTTCTGCACAACACCACCTAAGAAAGGAAGAAACAAGGCAATATCGAGTCCCCTGGTGGTGAGATCTTTCTGTATCTCAAAATCCATGTGAGGGCTTAAAAGGACCAGAAATCTTCAGAACAAAAGCTTTTTTCATGTAAAATAAGTGCATGCTATTAAATACTTTCAGGGACATCACTGAAATCAACTGAGTGATAGGACAGTTCTAAAACATGCATTAATGGGACCGTGTGTATACATGTGTATACAAGATCAATATTTGATAGATAATAGATGATGGATGATAGATGGATGGATGATAGATGAGGAAGGATGGACAAAAGATAGAAGATGGAGGATGGATGGATGGATAGATGATAGATAGATAGATAGATAGATAGATAGATAGATAGATAGATAGACAGATAGATAGATAGATAGATAGATAGATAGATAGATAGATAGATAGATAGATAGATAGATGAAGGATAGATGGGTAGGTAGGTAGATAGATAAATAGGAATCCTCTGCTCAATATCTTCTGACTGACCAGTAAGGGTGCCATTCTCTTTGCAAAAGTCATCAGATGAACAGAGGGACGTGTATGTCCTTCATTGGTGTTCCTCAGAGACAGGAGTAGATAAAAGAAGAGAAGAATGATTGCCTATGGACTAAGTTGGTATTCGGAATTCTCCGAATCACTTTTTTATATGTCTTTCTTTCTTTCTTTTTTTAATTTTAATTTTTGGTGCCAGTCTGAGACTTAAACCCAGGACCTGGAAGCTGTTCTCGAGTTTCTTTTTGCTCAAGGCTAGCACCCTACCACCTGAGCAACAGCTCTCTTTCTGGTTGTTTTTTTTTTTTTTTGGTAGGTTTAGTAGCTATAAGAGTCTCACAGTCTGTTACATTTAGAAGATTAATTTATGTAAAATATCCAAGTATTTTTGTTAAAATGTTTTCTTTGTTTCCAGTTGTTTCATGATTAAATTTATAGACAAGTAAAAAAAAAAGAGTCTCACAGACGATCTGACTGGGCTGGCTTTGAACCACAATCCTCAGATGTCAGCCTCCTCGATACTAGGATTACATATATGAGCACTGGTTCCTGGCTTCGTATTTCTTTCTATTGTACGGTCACAGCTATTGTTGGTGTTAAAAGACTTTCCCAGGTTCATTAGCTGCTAAAAGGCCAGAATCAGACTTTAGCTTCAGTTTAACAATCTCTGTGTGATCCATTTATTCCATCAACGAAGATTTGTGGCACACTGATGGTGCTTATAGGCTGGAGGTCCCAACAGTGAGAATGAATTCCACCCACTTCCCCACAAATTCAGAGCGATCCAGAGGAGATACTTTATAGGACTCCCGCTAGTCCCAGAGGATTGGTATCCATATGTGCAGTTTAGTGTAACTATACTTGAGGGAGCTAGGAGACGGAAGACCAACTACTATGAGGCGGGCTAGTCTACTTCTATATCCATTAGACTTCTCCCTCTACTCCTGCCTCTCTCCCTGCTTTTCTTTAGCATTTAACTTCTTTCTTCTTCTATGAGACCTCAGCTTTCTGTTTTATAAAATGAAGGGTTTGGCTGGATGAACACACTACGGACTTCAAAACTCCCCAATCACCAACTAGATAACCGTTATTTTCCCCAAAAGCAGAGCAGTCAGACTGCAGAGGGAATTCCCATCATGCCAGGTCCCAATTTCTGTGATTGCCTGGGTCTAAGTGCCAAGTCCTCAGACTTGAACTTGGGGCTTGAATCATCACAACCTGAGTGTTCAAGCACTCTACAACTTCAGCCACCACTCCATGTTCAGCATTTTTTCTGGCTAACTGGAGATAAGTCTCATGGACTTTGCTACCCAGACTATCTTTGAACCACAATCCTCAGATCTCACCCTCCAGAGTAGCTAGGATTATTGCCACGAGCCACCAGTGCCTGGCATAACACAAGCACTTCTAATTGAACCAAAAATTGTGTTGAGAAAACTGAAGGTCAGTAAGTAATTTGCATGCCATTGCATTGGTCTGGCTATGGCCAATAGACCATGCTCTGGTCTCTATGGCAGAAGGTTAGACCAGTGCATCTAAAATGTTGCCATTTCCTTAAGGGTACTTTGTAGCTGGGCACTAGAAAAGACCAACTGGCCTCCCAGGCAAGAAAGACAAATGCTCTCCCCAAAATAAAGCAAAAGATTAAAAGCCAGCTGCAACTCTACAGAACCTCTATAAAACTCTGTAGAGTTCTATACAACAAATGCTGTCAGGGATGTGGAGAAAGAGGAACCCTACTGCACTGCTGGTGGGTATGTAAACTAACACAACCACTCTGGAAAGCAATCTGGAGGTTCCTCAGAAAACATAACCTTCCCTACAACCCAGCCATACTACTCCTTAGGCATCTACCCTGAGCAACAGGAACCAGGATTCAAGGACACATGCACCTCCATGTTCATTGCTGCACTGTTCACAATAGCCAAGATATGGAAACAACCCAGATGCCCCACTACAGATGAATGGATCCAAAAATTGTGGTTCCTATATACAATGGAATATTATCCAGCCATTAGAAAGGACAAAATAATGGCATTCTCAGGGAAATGGATGGAACTAGAACAAATCACGGTGAGTGAAATAAACCAAGATTAGAGAGACACAAATGACATAAGGTCTCCCTGATATGCATATGTTAAATTCAAAATGCAACAAGATATGTCAAAATACAAAGGACCTTTTCTTAGTTTGTTGCATTGGTTTTAGATGACTATGTTCTTGACCCCGCATGTGGCATATACACGTATACGTAAGAGGGAAGCTGGGAGGCAGACACAGAAAAAAGACATGAAGAAAGTGAAGTTGTTTTCTATTGCAAAAAAAAAGAACTCTGTAGAAAACCACCTACTCCCATTGCTCATGGAGTAAAGTCTAAACTCCTTTTCTTTTCTTCTTTTCTTCTTTGTACCAGTACTGGACTTGCACTCAGGGCCTGCTCATTATCCCTTAGCTTTTTTACTCAAGGCTGGTCCTCTACCACTTGAGCCATATCTCCAGCTTTTTGCTGGCTAATAGGAGATAAGAGCTTCATGGACTTCCCTGCCCAGGTTGACTTCGAATCTGGATTCCCAGATTTCAATTTCCCGAGTAGCTAGGGTTACAGGCATGAGCCTTCAGCACGTAGTGAGTCTAAACTCTATCTCACCCCTCAGGTGCTAGAATATTCACCAAGCACTTCTTCTGGATGTCAAAACTGAATCCACTCAGCTACAGTGCAACTACAACCTCTCCTGAAGAGCCACTCTGGGCCTGTCTAGGGTATGATAGCTCATTTTTGTGTACATTGTCCCTCCTTTAAGGAGATCTTGCTCCCACCAGGAACCTCCCAGCCTTGGGCATAGTTTAGTACCACCTGCCAGACTCGCCAAGCTCCCCTCTCCCCCAGTGATGACCATCAACACCCAGGCAGGGCTCATCTCATGCCAACTACTCTTCCGAGTGCTTTTGGATCTATGAACTTATTAAATCATCCAGAGACATCAGGAAGAGGAAGCAGGAATGCTGACTGCACAAGGAACTTTCAGGGTCACACCACTGAAAATCCCACACTGACGCCCAGTCTTTCTCACCACCATTGGGCTTAACCAGTAGACTTGCACAATGCTATCCAAAGGTGGATGCCTCTTTCAGAGGGAAGAGGAGGCCAAAGAACAAAGAAGAAAGCTGAGTGGAGTGGAGGCCTTGTGTCAATGTCTCTTTCCCTTGTAACTATGGAAGCTGATGTGGGAGGAATCTTGTGCCCCTCTGGGCAACAATAGTGGCAACTCCTGAGGACCAGAGAGAGTTCAGCCTGCCTGGACATTGGGATGAGACGGATAGTTCGTGTGGTTCCAGGCCAGCTTCAGCAAACAGTTGGTGAGATCTTCACCTCAAGCAACCTTGAAGTTCAAGGCATCCCAATCCCTCAGTCTCAGAGGCTGTTCTGCCATAGGGGAAAAAGAAGTGGGGCAAGGGTGGGCAGGAGAAAGACCTAAGTGGAGGCCTGGAGCTCCTCCACTCAGCCTGCTCTCCAGGGGCATGAGTGTCTTTCATGCCTCAGAAAGCTTCCGTTCCTCCACCTCACCTCCCTCCAGGGAGGAGGGATGGACCCCCCTGTCCCAGCCCCCAGCTGGGATGGGGGCCACAGAACCACGCCCTCTCCTCACCTTGCTCAGAGTGAAGGCATCTGGGCTGTGTCTGTAGAAAGTTTCTTTGAAGGAGCCCAGCCAGATCTCAGCAAGGCGGACCTTATTCATCAGGACGGCCTTCTTGTCCAGGGAGGTGCGGGTATCCTGATTTGGGTACAGGTGCCCAACCCGAGAGCAAGGGATGACCTCCACGGAGCCACCACAGAGCCAGGCCTGCCACGAAGGGAGAAGGTGAGCAACTCTCCCCCTCCCCTTCCATGAATGGGTGGGGGGGTGTCTCTGAGGGACTGGCAAAAACCACACAGGAGGTCGTGAGCACGAAGTGGCCAAGAGGATGAGAGCACTTTGGTGCAGTTTCCAGATGGTGGAGGGCACAGCTGCCCGTCTGCAATGCGCAGACTCAACCCTTGGAGATAAATGCAGCCCAGAGACTGCACCTCCTCTCTCCAGCCAACACATTCCAAAGGGAAAGATGCCCCCAGTGGCCCAGGAATTTCTAGAAGCTTGTGAGGTCTCCTTTATAGGCACCAGAGCCTTGAGTGATAGAGATGAAAGAAAACCCTCCTCCCACTCTTCACTTCTTCCAGAAGGTTCTCCCGCACCCTCCCATTCCCCCAAGTGTCTGAAGTTCATCTGACAGTGCCATCCTGGAAGAATAGAAGTTACAATGCAACAGTTCTGGGATAGGTAACCAACCCATGGACTAAATACACCAAGAGGGGTTCCCAAACCATGCGCCCTGGGGCTTCCAAGGGATCTAGGGGCTATTTTAAATTTTTGTCAGAAACAGCGACATCTGTTGTACATGATGCAAACTACAAGTCTAAGGTTATTGATAACTTAGATATTAGCTCTCTGCACGTGGAAGGATGCCTATCTTTGCATCCTGCTAAAAGTATCAGGCGAAAGTCAATGTGAAGCACGGGATCCTAAGGTTTGAGAAGCTGAGCAGTGGGCTGAATTCTTAGGACAAAAATTTACATATTATTTAGACTGAGCTACTCAATGCACAGACTGGTTTGGTATCTGTGGGGCCTGTGGGTGGTGTGCATAAAGATCCCTGAGATGCTAAGGGTACCGTGAGCAGAGAATTTCAGGTTCACATTAAAGTGTGAGTGATTGCTAGTTTCAAGTTTTGAAGGTCAAGTTCACATGGGAGGCCAAGTAAAATCAAGGTGGGACACAAGACAGATGGGAATGGGGGAGGAATGGGAGGAGATTTAACAGGCCTAGTCACAATAAATGTATACTTTTTCTCCAGACTCATCTTCAACTCTTGGCATTTTCGATGACTTCTGCCAAGCTATAACCGTTACCACTACCATTACCATGCCAGAAATCCCACCTGTGTCCTACACTGGCATAGGACTTACCTTAAGGGAGAGTTCGAGGTTTTCTCCACCCTGCAGTGCCATGAGTGGGTCATATGCTCCAGTGTTTTGGAAGTAATATCTATCCACAGCCACTACCTCTCCGAGTACCACAGGGCTCCTGAGCAGAGAAGATGGGCAGTAAGAGACTGCAGTTCAGAGCCCGGAGCTCCACAGGCAAAGCAGGACTGAGGGCTTCCCCAAGGGAGCTCCAGGGACTGAGAAAGCACGCTCTGGAAATCAACAGTTTTAGTGGCAAGATTGGATCAAAGCAACAATGTAAATATCCAAGTATTTTATAGAGGACTAAAGTTGTTCTGTCCGCAGGTCTGTTCCTACATCGGAGCCCCAGGGACTGAGCTCCAGGCTCCCAGATCTGCTGGCTATAGTCACTCTGGAAAGATGCTTGGGACCAAAGCCTTGGCTAAAAATAAGATGCCTCCCAGAGCCTGGTGCTGGTGGCTCACGGCTGTAATCCTAGATGCTCAGGAGGCTGAGATCAGAGGATTGCAGTTTAAAGCCAGTTCCATGTACTCTGGGAGAATTACACATGACTTATAAACACAGCAACCTAGAAACCTGGAGGAAGGGAATTCAGGTGACAATAATATCCTCTGGGCTTCCCCCCAAAAGATGTAGCCAGAAGCCTTCTTACAGAGCTCGCTTCATTCAGAAACAAATTTGAATGCAGCCAAACTCTGGATATGTCACAAGATATAAATAAAACTTCCGAGTTTTTTAATTGCAGAGGAGACAGTATTGCATTAACAAAGCCACCAGCTTCAGATTATTAAAAATATTGTTATGCCAAAATACTAAGACACCAAGATTATGAGATTTCTTGGCACAATTTCCAGATCTGTAGATATGTAAGCTTTCTGAGCTTAGTTTTCCTACCTCCAAATTGGAATAATTTTTTCTGTGTTTAATGGGGATTAAAAATAACTCATGTAATATATGTGTGTGACTTATTTATTTTTGTCTTTTTTTAAATCCCAGTTCTGGGATCTAGGGCTCATATTCTTGCTCTGCTTGCTTGTTTGGCTGGTGCTGTATCATTTGAACCATGTCTCCAACCCTGCTTTTTGCTGGTTAATTGTAAATGTAGTCTTGCCAGGGTTGGCTTCAAACCATGGTCCTTCAGGTCTCAGCCTCCTGAATAGCTAGGATTACAGGCGTGAGCCACCAGGGCCTCAGTGCCAGTGTGTTTTTAAATTCACAAGTGGCATGGACTTAATGGGCACTTGAATGTATGTCTGGGCCAGCACTCTTAAGTCAAATACAGTGTAAGGTGAATCTTCAGTGTAAAGTGGCAGAAATCAGGCCTACGCAGACACCTGCATCAGACCAGGGCAGCCTCTTGTGCCCAGTGCATCATGAATAAAGGCTTGGGTTTAGAAGTCTTTGGCTTTCACCATTAAACAAGCAACTGTGGACTTAGATTTGCCGCACAACACAGCCAGAGGCAAAGTAGATGGTCTCAGTCCAGTGCCTGGCCCTGTCCTAACTCTGGACCTGCTTTCCAGTAGCTTGATGATGTTGGGCAAATCATTTCTTGTGTGTGTGTCCAGGCAAGGTGAGAACAGAGACCACATCCCTTATTGTGCCCTGTCAGAACCCCACCCTGAGAACCAGGAGCTTAGGGACATGGCTGGTTTGCACTACTCTGAGCCGGGGAACCCTAGATCATCCACTCCACAGCTGGGAGAGACGATGGACTTTAGGACTAATTGTGCATGGAGAATGTGGTCCTATTCACCTGCCTGACCACATCCTTTGTGCTTGGCAGGACTTGAGGCCTAGGAACCTCCAAAGCTCCCATGTGAGAGAGCTGGGTAGATGTCTCAGCATCTCCCATACCCACCTCAGAGCATCCCTGAAAATATGCTGGGCCCAGCTGGGCTGACTTCATCTCTGGGTCACAGGCCTCACCTGACTGGGCTGATGGGGGATGGTCGAGCCTTCTTCTCACGCTCTGACAAGGGTTCCCAGTGCAATTCCAACTTCCAGTCCAACACCCCGCGCTGCAGCTCCTGGGCTGGGTAATACTGGAAAGTCTTCCAGTCGATCACGTCTATGAGTGGGGACACCACACGGTTCCTGGGGGATCAGAGGGGGCAGGCGGGGCGTGGGGAGATGGGATGGGGGGGAGGAGACAGACGGTTCACGCTCTGGGAATGGAGACCAGATCTATACACATGCTGCCAGTGAGCCAGCCACAGTGCCTTTGGTACTCCAAATGCGGTTTTCCCAAATAAGATGTGGTGTCATTGTCAAATATGCACAGATTTAGAAGACGCCCAGGAAAAGAAGATGTAAAAAAAAAAGTTTTGATCATTTAAAAATTGATGGAATGACATTTCGGATATATTGAGTTTAATCATCTATATCGCTAAAAATTAATTTCATCTTTTTTATTTTGGAATATGAGTACTGAATTAAAAAATATTTGCGTCTCACGATATATTTCTATTTAATAGCATTGTTCTAGAAAATATGCTTTTCCGGAAGGAATTGGGGCCTATTTTATTAAAAATACATACCTACGTGTCCCCCCTCCCCCGCACACCTTCTTTTTTGCTGGTCTTGGGGGCTTGCACTGGGTGCTAGGTGCTGTCTCTGAGCTTTTTTGCGCAAGGCTAGGGCTCTACCACTTGATCCACACCTCCAACTCTAACTTCCTTCAAGGCTTGACCACCTGGGAATCCCCAAAGGTACTGAGTTCTCTGTAGTTGTGGAGACCCAGCACTTTCTGAGGGATGGATAGATGTTCTGCTGGGCAAACCCCGAGGCCGGAGTGAGTTACCTGTCACCTGCTATTCTGCTGAGGAGAGGTTCCAGCCAGCCGGAGTGGCATTCACAGCGGGCATTCATGAACACCAGCACATCTCCTGTGGCCCGGTTGGCCCCCAGCATCTGGGCCTTGATGGTACCCAGCCTCTTGTTGCTCCTAATCAGCTTCACGCCTTCCAGCCTGGTGACATATTCACTGAGAGCAGACTTGAGTTGTTCTAGAATGACAGGGGTCAACGGGGTCACAGACGCCATAGCCAATGGAACTAAGTGGGCCTCATTAAGGTCACTGCTGGCAACTCTCGGTGGAGCACTAGGGGCCTGCACGATGCCTTTGAAAGGCTGGTTCTGCATGGAAGGGAGACAAAGACCCTTGAGGAGGAGAATGAGAGAGGCTTCTTCAGTTCTGTGCTTAAGCTAGAAAAAGTTTGACTCGTATGTGTGTTGTGTGTGTGTTCACAGGCAATCCATATGTACACGAGGGCACGTGTATCTGTGTATCTAAGACAAACCAGGGAGGATTAACTCTTCAGTTCTCACACTCCCTAGGGACACCAAGAGGACATTTATCATTGGCTGACAGGGACCACAGGGCATGATCTCAGGAAGACCCTGCCTCAGCGGATGGTCTGAAGAATCTCTGGGCATTTTTATTAGCCAATCCAGCCCAATCTGGCCAAGTTTCTGCCATGGCCAGGTTGGAAAGACTTCCAACAAGAGGACCTTAGACAGCTGACAACATGCCTGATTCCTCTGTCACATTGCCTGCCGTGTCCCTAAGTAACATACCACCTTGCTTGGCTTTCTTCATATAGCTTCATCTTCTCATGAAGCCAGAGTGGACTTTGGCTTAATTTCTGATTTAAGTCAGAAGCAGAGGACTTGAGTCAGGATGTTCCCCAGCACCATCTGTCAGCTTGTTAGAGATGGAAATTCCTGAGCCCCTCTGGGCTCCCCACCTCTGTGGTGTTTAATGAAACCCACCACATTTCACCTTCACCTAAGGTTTGATTGTTGCAGACTGGGAAGTCAGGCTGGGTGGTTCTTTCTCCATCTTCTTTTTAGGCTGTTCTCTGAGCTGAGTTGTTTTTTTTTTTTTGTCAGAGGAAGCATTTCAGGAGACTCTATAGGCAGGGCTATCTGGCCCCCATTTTGCCCCTCTTGGTCTGACTCAGTTCTGGCAAGTTCTCTTCTCTGGCCTCAGTTTCCTCTTTGGGACAGTGATAGATGCAAAGGGCTTTGCCCAGGGTCTAGCAGACAGTGTGCCCTAATGGCTGCCCTCTGTGATTGCAGAGTCATGGGGGAGAGCCCAAGGAATCAGACACTGGGGTCCCCATTTGCTTGGCTTCTTCCTCTTCTGTCTCCCTTCTCCCACTGGTCTCCCCTGGGCCCTTCTTTCATGCTCCAATTACAGGTGAGTCCTCAGGTAGAGCCCTACCTCTGGGGAACTTCGCTTACAGTAGATTCTACCCCCGTCTTTTCCATAGGAGTTCCCTTCCCCTCTGGGGCCCAAGGCTAACCCCAGCTACCTTGCTGGCTGAAGTCGTCCACCAGGATGAGCTCTGTCAGCAAGGCCCTGGGTGCCGTGTCCAGGACACTGTGCACAGTTCTCAGGAGGGTGGCCCAGGCCTCATTATGGAAACACAGGATCACGCTGGCTGTGGGCAGGCTGCCCTCGGGGTGCTGCTGCAGACACCTGGGGGGAAGAGAGCCTGGAGCTGCAGAAAGCACTTGACCCCTGCTCTAAGTCACTGCAGGCCTGGCTGGGCCTCTGGTTCTATGCCCTTCCCAACTCCATTGTGCTGTCCAGCTTTGCTGAAAACTACCATATAGAAAGAGACAGGCGTGCCTCTATTAGCTCCCGCTCTGATCCCAAGAGCCCCTTTGCTCTGTCAGTCCACACCCCATCATTGCAGTCAGCAGGGACTGGGACAGTTCTCAACAGCTGACTGCCAGCATCTGGAACAATGGAAGCAAATGACAGTGTTACCAAGGTCCGGGAACTGCTGTGAGCTAAAGTGTGTTGACGCCCCTCCTTGAGCATTTTGTGAACACAGTGCCGTCCACTCAAGGGCTGCACACCTGTTTCTTTCTAGTTGTATTCCTGCATCCTAGCACAGCGCCTAGCACATGAGAAGTGTCAGCTCATTTATTGGTAGCATTAGGGGTGTGTGTATGTGTGTGTGTTGTGTGTGTGTGTGTGTGTGTGTGTGTGTGTTGTGCCAATACTGAGGCAGGAACTCATGCAAGCGAGAACTCATGCTCTCCTTTAGTTATAGCTGTCCAAGGCTAGCATCCTTCCATTTGAGCCACAGTTCACACCTGCCTCTGATTCTTGGTGGTGGTGGTAAGAGGAAATATGAGAAGCCCTTGGCTGCAACTTAAGCATGTTTCTGGGAGTCTGACTGTTTCCTAAACTAGGAAAGGAGACTGGGGATGCAGAGACTGGATTTAGGAGTCCTGTGGGGGCAGATTCATGGGGACAGAGGTCTGTCACCCTGTTCTCAGGGCATAATACCACCATGCGTGTCCATGGGGCTGGTCCCTTTCTATCAATCCACAGAATGTGAGACTTGGATATAACACATGTATGTGGCATAATGAAGCTTACACCCCATCATACAGGTAGTTATCATTACTCAACACTGAGACATTCAGGATGTGGGGTGTGACATCAAAACCAGTACCAGAATGCCAGACAGGACAGTCAGGAGAGCATATATATAGGCCATGTCCTTCCTGCAGATATCCAGGCCTCTGTGAAGGCTCAGAGAAGGAAATGGGCTCCCCATGTGCCAGGAACTGAAGGAAATGAAGGACATCAGCAAACATGTTGCCCCTTCTCCCACCAGTGCAGGGAGGGTCTGAGGTCTGGCCATAACCAGGCCAGCTGTCTACAATCCTCCACCCACAGGAGGGCCTTGGGTTTTGCCATGTCTCAGGCCAAACCCACCAGACCCAGGAGAGCGTCTGGCCTGTTTCAAACAATCCAATCAGGAACCGCGCCAGTTTGCCATCCTGTGGTCACTGCCCTGGGAAAGGTCTGGCCTACTTCAAACATACCAATCATCATCTGGAAAATTGCCTGAAGGGAGGAGAAAAGTAGGTGGGGGGGAAAGATAGAGGCAAGGTAAAAGCAACAGTTCAGGACCATGGAGGGACAATCAGCTTCCATTCACACTGCTCATTCTTCTGAGTGGCCTTTGCTTTCTCTTTACTGAATAAACTCTTTAAAACTGTCCTTGCTCCTGACATTTATATCTATGCTGCTGGAGAACAAGAACTCACCATACTTATATCTCATACATCAGAAAGACATTCTGAAATACATTTTCAGCCAGGTGCCCGTGGGTCATGCCTGTAAGCCTAGCTATGATCCGAGGATCGAGGCTCAAAGCCAGCCCAGACAGGAAAGTCCATGAGCCTCTTATCTCCAAAGAATCATCAAAAAGCTTGAAGTGGAGCTATGACTCAAGTGGTAGAACACTAGCCTGGTGGGGGCGGTGGGGGGAGAGCTCAGGGATAGCACTTAGGCCCTGAGTTCAAGCCCCAGGACTAGCACAAAATAATGTTAATTAAAAATATATATTCCCCCTTATCTTGTCTAAAAAATGCAAATAGCAATTTTCTAACTTTTCTTTAAATCCTTTAGCGAAATAAGCAACGGGTAGGCAGACCAAGCAAGGGGGCCTTGTGCAAGCGATTATACCTCTGAGCACCTGCCTCTGATTCTCCTTGTTGACTGGGTTGTCAACCATCCTGGGCCCGTCATAGCAGAGTCCAGCAAATCAGTGAAGCGGTGCATAGCAAAATCTTTGGGATTTTGTAAGCCAAAGTCACCAGGATCACAAAGGAGAGACCAACAGCTTTGGGACTGAGGTAATCTAGACTGGAATCCTGGCTCTGTTATTTACATTCCTAACTAGACAACTGGCTACCTTCCCTCACTCAGGGTTGTAGTCAGGATCAGAAGAGATAAGAGCAATCAAGAGCACACACATGTGCTCACCCTCTCTGCTCTCCCGCCCATCCCTCTTGCCTGCTGCCCCAGGATCCCCTAGGAATTTGGAAAATGCATTTGGATGATGATTTCAAAGAGAATGAGTCATGGTGTTGCACCAGATTGCCTGGCTGTCACACATGAACCAAAGCTTCTGCCAGCCCTCTTGCCTGACCACAGTGGAAAGGTTTCTACTGGCCTCCTCTTCCTCCTCATCTTATTCAGTGAGTAGTACATTTGAATTCAGGCCGCCATACTTGCTAGGCAGGCATTTTGTCACTTCAGCCGCACCACCAGCCCGTTTTGCTTTAGTTATTTTTTTGAATAGACTCTCAGTTTTGCCTGGGCTGGCTTCTTCTTACCTATGCCTCATAGGTAGCTGAGATTACAGGTGTACCACCATGCCTAGCATGTTTGTTGAGATGGGATTTTCACTAACTTTTTGCTTAGCTGGCTTCAAATTGTGTGTGCACCACCCAATCTTCACCTCTCAAATAGCTAGGATTACAGGTGTAAGCCAAAGCAGTTTGCCTGAGGATATTAAACTGTTAAGTACAGCTTGACAAATGATGTTTGCTAGTGTGGGGATCCTGAGGTTGGAACACAGCTGGGGAAAAGAAAACCTTCAAGGAATGAGTAAGGGTGCTCGCTTCTATATGAGACAGAGCATGAGAAGATCAGAGTCTTCAGTGGAGGCTGATTCTGCCAACCTGTCATTCTCTATTAGGTGACACAGGGCACAAAAGGTGTGTACAGTCTCCCTCTGTTTGTGATAGTCCCACAGTTCCCTTCTGAGGGATTCTAGGATATCCCTGGCTTGCTCTTATCCTGGCCCTTTAACCCTCGACAAGGTATGGGAGTTGCAGGTGTGAACACTGACCAGAGGCCTATAAAGTGCCAGAGCCAGCCTTCCCTTCAGATTAGCCAGATGAAACTTCTAAATCCTCCCTCTGAAGAGTTTGCCTCCCCCTGTGAGTAGCAGTATCTACCAACATCCTTTCCCTCCGTTGGAGTGGGGGGGGGGCAGGGGGGTGACTGTAAAAGACAAGACAAGTTACAGCCAAGCGATGGTGGCTCACGTCTGTAATCCTAGCTACTCAAGAGGTTGAGATCTGAGTAGTAGAGCACCAGCTTTAAGTGAAAAACCCAAAGGAGAGCATAGGACCCTGAGCTCCAGTCCTAGTACCAGCATTAATAAAAAGAAGAAGAAAGAAAAAGAGAAAGAAAAAGGCAAGGTGCAGCGTTGCCACCTCTAATCTGATGGCCAAGCTCAGCTGGTTGTACCCAGGAAGCCCAAAGTCAACTAGTGTTAGTGTCTCATACTCATTCTCATTCCCACCACAGCCCCATGGCGGGCAGGGGCTCTTCATCCTCCGAGGCTGAAAGTGTGATGTGTGTGGGTTGCCTTCAGGACATGGCCAGTAAGGTCCAGTAGCACCACTTGCAATAACCCTGCTGACTTTTCATTGGTGGACGGGGTGGAGTGGAATGGATGGGGGGTACTGAGATGAGCCCCACCTCCCCACACTGCCAGCCAAGCCTCTCAGATGAGCTGCCGCCCCATTCTCAGTCAGCCCTGTCTACCCCCTCTCTCAGGCCAGGCAGTCAGAGCCTGCAGCAGCGGGGTCAGGAGTCATCCCAGTGACTCACTGCCTGGCGAGACAGAGATGGCAAAGAATGGCACGGACCCTGTGCTTGTAATACCATGTTCTGCTGGACAACACAGCTGTAGCCCAATAACACACCCTGACCTGCCCCTGCTACACCATGTTCCCCACCATGCCCTAGGTGGTCCCAGGGCAGAAGGGAGGAAAAAAAAGCAGAAGAGATCCTTGCGCTGCTTCCCCACTAGCTGTGGGGGGGGGGGCTGTTGTAGCCCTGGCTTAGGGGCCTGTTCTAGAACCACATATAGGTAGAATATAACTCTCCATGCCCCGTCTCCCCTCGGACGCCCCCCTCCCCTCCCCTTCTCCCCTCCTCTGGGGGATCAGAGCAGGAAAGCTCCATCTTCCCTCCATCTTTCCTCCTGTCTGACTCACTCTAGGCTCTTTGCTGAAGAATACAATAAGTCAACTTCTCTTTGGACTTTAATCTTGGGGGAAAGCATCACACGCTTTAACTTACTTTTTCTGTTGCCCCATATAAAGATGTTACTATCACCCCAATTTACAGTTGAGGACACTAAGGCTGAGACCTTGAGCAGCTTGCCCAAGGTCACACAGTGAGAGGTGGTGCCTGGATTTGACCCCGTGTCTACAGTTCTGTGAGCAGATGAATTAGTCACACTCATGCATACCTAAGTCAGGAAAGAACAGGGCTTATTTACTTGGAGCTGACCTGACACAGATTCAAGGATGAGCCCTTCAGGTTATAGGGAGACTGTGGGCTCTACTTCTTTTCTTTATCTCTCAGTTCTAGGACTGATGTCAGAAGCAGCTTAAATGATATTCTTGCTGGGTTCTATGAATCAACTAAAAGCCCCCTATCTTTTTATCTGTGCCCTTTGATCTGAGCTATTCTCTGTTGCCTCTCTTCCTAAGACAACGGCCTAGTTTGCAGGGATTAAGATAGCCCTCTTGTATGAAAGGCAAGCTGCCCTTCCCACAAGCAACATCTCCTTAGTACCTTAAAGCAAACAGCCCCAAACAGGACAGCATCTTGTTCCTGTAGTAAAATAACTTCTCTGGAACTCCTCC